TACCTCTTGCAACTTACCATCTAGATGTTCTCGTAGGTTTCCATTGCCCACATATTCAACAACGATAACCCTTTCATCTTCATGTTCGAGAAATCCATATAGCTTTACCAAATTCATATGCTCGATCTTTGACAAGGTGTATATTTCATTCTTAAACTCTAGCAACCAGCTTTTGCCATAATTGTTCTGCCACAGAATTTTCAGTTATACATCATTTTTTCTCCAAATTATTCTCAAGACATCCACATATTTTCCAAGAAAAGGAATTGAAGTTACCACCTTTCTTGCACGCTTGATAGCAACAATGGTTCCATCATCAAGCTTTCCCTTATATACAGTTCCAAAACCGCCTTCCCCAATCTGATGAACCGACGCGAAATTTGCAGTTGCCCTCAGAAGCTCCTCAAAAGAGAAAATTACTGGACCAAGGTGCCAACTTTTGCTAGAAGTAGAATCTTTCCCAGAATTTTGAAATCTTGAACCAGAATATCGATATTGACCTGAAATCTTTCTTTCTGTTGACCTTCCAAAAGAGCTTGGTGACGAATAACCAGTCCAGCCTGATACTGCACATATGCAAGAAAAAATATTGTAGAGAGCATAGATATATATCTCATCCATAAAAGTATCACTGGTGTTTTAAAGTATCAAAGCATGTTTCTGATTCAAGAAAGGATGTTTTAGGAAAGATTCAATCAAACACCAATATGCTTACATGTAGAGTCTNGGTCGAGCGTGCTGCTACTCTCTCCTGGATCAGATCTACATTCTCTTGGGTTTAACTTTCTCTTCCCTTTGAAAATAAAAGCAAAGACTCCTGCTACTTTCTTGGCTGCCCGTCTGAGAGCGGAGACATTCTTCGACTTCTCGCCAGTACCTAGATCATTCCAATTATACTCAGAGTCGGCTTTTGGATGCTTTCCACTTGGGAAGTGGAGAGGCGTTGGGGTTTTGCTCCTCATTGGCATATGTCTAAGACATGGTTATAGCAAAGGATGTGAATATTATTTCTAATGTCCACCAAAGTCCAAGAAATGAAGTTTGTTGTAGTCATGTAATTCTGTTTCTTTTTTTTTTGTTAAACGACAGATATATATATGTGCATATAATATAAGCATTATGACCCCATGATTATCTGTTAAACCA